GGGGGAGAGCTGCACATGCGTTCCCTGCTTCACTGATTAATGTTTTCGTATTGTAGCCAATCTGTTATGAGGATTCAGGAGGATAGGTCTGTGTCTATTTTCCTAAAACAGATCAAAGTAAAATTAAAACTTAAATGGGTTATACAATTCAAGAACCTTTAAAATCTCAATATCACTTGCTATAATGACATGTCAGAACGTGTTATAAAAACCTTTGTTTTACGTTTTGACTTAGTTGTCATGCAAATCTTTGCACAAATCATAGCACTGCGGGGTGTTCATCTGAGTTAGCCTCAACATGAAGCCCTTAAAACACATCATGGTTATCCCACAAGTTATGTCCCCAAAAAAACGTATGGGACATGAAATAAGCTTGTTTTTTCTGGGTCACATAGCATGCCATTTGAATCTTCCTCAAGGCAGCACCATACAGGATCTCACTGGGAATAACACAGAACGAACATATTATATATATATATATATATATATATATATATATATATATATATATATATATATATATATATATGTATTGAATAAATATATGAACACTAATACGCACTCACACAAACATATACACACACAATCAATTATACAAGTATACTAAAAATAAATTCCCAATAAAAGTATAAGACTCTTCTCTACGCAATTTAGGAGCTGAACATCAATTCCAACGTCGTAGCCAAAAGTCTAAATTGTCCTGTGAAGACTACGTATATCAGACACAAGGATTGATTGAGAACCTGGCAATTAAGTTTGATAGTACAGTAGCAATTGAAACTCTTTGGAAAAGGCTTGAGCTGGAAACTCGAGAGGAACTATTGCCATGAACAGTGAGACCTGCCTTACCTGTAAAGTAAAAGGCTAGAGGCCACCCTGGTGGAAGTTTACATAGTTGAGCTGCCACTGGTAAAGTGATGATAGAACCCAGCAAAGTACCTGTTTGACAGACAAGAAAATATTAAATAGAAACCAATTCCCTTATTAAAATGAGTTTAACTTTTTGTCGATGAATATTGATAACTTAATCATATTTAAATTGTTTGAACAAATTGTATTTATATGGTTCTGGCTTTAATTTAATTGGTGCCCCCCCCCCCCAAAAAAAAAAGAGAAAAAGAAACACATGAACAAATACACAAATAAACACAGATAACAACATATTTAAAAATCCCAAAACAATAAACAAACAACAAAGCACAAAATACGCACAGTTTACCAGTTCAATACTGCTCCACTTCAAACCAATCCAGGTTCTCGTTTTTAGGGTTTTCACTCAAAGTTTCACTCCGCTCCCTTTTTTAATCAGTTCACGAACTTGCGCAGTTTATGAATACTGAAGATAGATTAACTGCTCTATGACAAAACATGCCACGCCTGTAATGCGTGATATGGTGAAACAGAATATTATGAAGCATGTTTGTTTTTTCTTAAATCTATACCCAGTTGTATATGGGTGACATCGACTTTCCTGCTTCGTCCCAGACGTCCTTTCCCTATTTTTTTCTTTGTCTTTCCTTACGCCATGGCACGCAGCGTTCTGTTTACGAAATAACCAAAGTGTGTCCAGTACGAACTTGGTACTTCCTCATTACCTGCTGTAGCAAAACCGGAAAGTCTCCCATTCTCCAGAGGTGGTATCCAACTGCTAAAAAGAACACACAGGGTGGGCCACATCACGCTCTGCAGAGAAAACACACCACTTCGCTTGTGAACCACACGCAAATACAGGTATTTTTGCTATTTTAAAGCGACGTTTATACCTGCATCTTATATTTATTTACAGAATACTAATCTGTTCATGATGCAAACTCAAGCATGAGGAAATCGTTAGTATGCCGGATGCAAGATTCCATTTTCTGTTGTCTAATGTTTATTTCTACTTCAAATGGAACAAAAAAGCTATTGTTTAAATCATCAGTCACAACAATATCATCTTTTAGTACTAAGAGTTTTGGATGTTAAGGTGTTTTTTTAGCTTGAAAAGTGTTCACAGAATGATAATTATTCCCCTCATCCCTGTCCCCCTCCTCCCATTT